GACTATATAAAAGTATTAAGAGGGATAGCCTTTCTGAACTGTATAGTACCCCTATTTTTCCTTTTTCTGGAGGAAAGAAAAGCTGCTGCTCCTCGGTATGATTGTAAGTTGTGTTAGAAAGAAGTGACTTGCTATTTGGAAGAATGAGAATGCCATAACTGGTTCTTCCCACTGTCATTTTTGGTTGAGTACACTTTCTTTCCTTTCCTTATGTAATATATTCGTGAAAAGTTTGATGTGTATCGGATTATATTAAATGTTTTCAAAACATAATGATTTTAAGTTAAGACATAGTGAGTCCTTATATAAGTGAATTCTGTACTTTGAATTGTATAGATATGAAGTAAATTAAACAGTGTGTTTATTTAGAAGGGAACATGGGTTACTTTTTTAGGTTAATTACAAAAGAGTTCCTCTAGGTGAGTTTTAGGTAGAATTCTAAAGGAACAATAAAGGTAGGTGGGAGAAGTTAGTAGAGTTGGTGAGAAAATTTGAGAAGGGTGCAAAAGTAATAAAATTGGTTCTTTAGTATGATAGTCACTGTGCAGCAGTAGTCACCTGTTTTTACCTTGGTTCCACATGAAGACATAATGATTTACTAGTACAGGGAGGTCTTCTGCCCTGCCCTGTCCTAGACTATAAATTGGCCATGGGTCTTTACATGGCCAATTTGTGGATCAGTAGCTTATATTTGAAGAAATGGTAATAAGAGGGTGAACATTTCTCTGCATTTGAGGACTCAAGGGCACAGGGAAACAAAAAGCTTTAAGTTTTTAGTTATATATCTCTCTAGTTCTGGCTTTCCTTTCACTGAAGAGGTATGGATTTTATTTTAGAGGGAATGTGCCTATCCTGTCCCAAGCCAACAGTGATATGTGGCCCCTAACGAGTGTACCTGTGGGGAGAGCTTTGGTCGTCACATGGGTGAATATGGGAGGGCTTTCCCCCATTTATAAATGGGTTGCTTTTGTTTGCTTTGTGTGCTGTGCTGTTGGGTTTTCTCCTCTCTGTTTCCCTAAGTTGAGCTTTAAGCTAATTCTGTACAAAATTCTGTACAACTAATTAGTTATTTTTATAAATTGCTTGCGATTAATGCCTGATAATATGCAGTAAAATAAGGTATCTGCATACCATTATGTATGTCAAATATTACAAACTTTAAGGTTCTTTTGAAATTATAATACTAAACTCAGTTCACTTTTGCTTAGCCTTCACAGTTGTTGATCACATAGCATGGTCATCCACTCACAGCTTAAAAAAATACAGGGAGCATCGGAGAGAATGGGTAAAGTAAAATTTTGATGTTTTTAAAATAGCACCTAAATCTGTGAAAGTTGATTTGAATTATTGTTTGTATGGGAGGGAGAGGGTGGGTAGCACTGGAGGGTGGGGGTGGGTATTGGGAAAATAGCATGCACCATGTAAAATGATATCAGATACCATCTGGGCTAAGGTTTTAACTACAGTTTAAGTCTAAGTCAGTTTCAGAAAAAGGCAGGACCATAAAATGGCAGTGTTGAGATTTACAGTGTGCTTAAAAATTTCCCTTCCAACAGATTGAAGGGGATTTGGAGAAGAGCAGTATTTGAGTATAGTTTTGGCAGCACCCTTCTTTTTAATGGTCATATTCCCTGAGTGAAACTGCCTCAGTACCACTTAGGCTCTGTTACATTACTGAGAGACCTCGAGAGGAATAATATGCATTTCAGTTTTTATTGTACACCTGTGACTCAGGTGTTCCCAAATAAAGGTTATAATTCATGAAACTCATAAAGGGGTTGAGTTGCTGGTAGGAAATATTAATAGAAAATTTGATGCTTCCATTTAAATTCTAAAAACTTAACATTGTAGTTATGTACAAAGTCTAATGAATTATTGTGGAGCTTATAGAGCAGAGAGACATCCATGTTGTTATGGGTAGGACATTTTGTTGTTAATGCAAATAACTTAGCCTAATCTCTGCCCCATTATTTTTAAACTTCTAATTTTTTTATTTTGTTTACACACAAAATCTGGATTGAAGGGAACAATGGAAAAATTATTTCTTTTTTCCTTTGGTCAAAGTCCTATTTTTTCTTCAAAATTTGGCTACTCCTTACATGAAGCCTTTTCTAACCTCTCCAGTCCTTGGTGGTCATTCTAGTCTTAGAATTCCTAAGTACTACTACTTGAAACATCAGTTTGGCACTTGGATCAGGCTACATTGTATATTACTTGCTACTTCATTTGAATGTCCTGTTTCTCTTAGCAAAATCATGGACTCTTTGAGGGTACAGAGCTTGTCTTCTATGCCTCTTTGTAACCCCATTGTCTACCACAGAGGATGTGTTCACTAATAAGTTTGATTCTATGATTTCAATCCAGTAATAGTGTAACAGGGTAATTGTTTTTTCTTACTTTAGGTTATTTTTATATGAATATATTCCTAGAACACCCAAAGATAAAGTACATCGAACGCATAAAATAATTCCTTGCATTATAAGGAGATTTGATTCATATTTGTTCTCTATTGATTGTAGTCTCTCCCTCCCCTCCTTTTTTTCCCCCCCAAATGGGCGCTGTTTTACCTAGTTTTGAAAAATATGGTTTGGGCCAGATATCTTGATAGAAACTAAAATTACTGGTATTTTTATTTTAAAATTTTTTGTTGGTTTTAGCCAAAGGATACTTTTATGGCGTATGCCCAAATTTATTAAGTACTTCATGGACATGGTAATATAGCCAAATTATTTTTTAAAATTTTAAGTCTCTTAAGTAAAACTTTAAAAATACCAATAAACAGATATTCAGTTGCTAGTCCCTCTCAGGGTATTTCTGTATCTCAAATTACTAGGGATTTTATTATTTTGTTGTTTTAAAAGTTTCTATAACGTATAGGCTGATTTTTGATAGCTGTGCATATTGTGTTTACTACAGTTATCAAATGTATAAAGAGCAATCACTTAAATGCAATGAGAAGGTATTTTAAATACTTTTTGGTGTTTATAGAAACTGATTTCTTTTAAAGCTCATCAGGGATGTTTGCTAAATTGATACTTGTAATTGTTCATATTTTATCTGACAGTTGTGTCTTCAGGGCACATGTCTTAGTATTAGATTTAATGTTGTGATTTCTGAAGCAAAAACAGTCGCCCTACTTGATGAAATGTTTGATTGGTAAAACTTATTGAATCTTGATTTTATTTTAAGGCCTGGCTTATAATCTTTTAGCCATTATTTTGACAGAGCACTGAAACAACACTGCTATTGCATTACTGAAAAGCGTAGATACATGTAGCAAGGGGACTTCTAGCTATGGAAGTTTTTTTTATTTTTTTTCCCTCTGCTTAAAATATCATCTTTAAATTTCTTAGCATAATTTGGGTGCAGATTTAAAAGAAAAAAAAATTTTTTTTACATGCCAAGAAGCAAAAAGCCTGTAATAAGCATTGCCATTCTGTTGTGAGCTTATCATAGTATCATTCTAACAAGAGCGTAAGGCCCTCACTAAAGTCTGAATGAAATAGATATTTAAAAAAATTTTAAAAAACCCCAGTTGGCCCAAAGACCACTTTCGAGAGCTCCAGCCTTGGACTTTTACCTATGGTTGGTTATATTCTTCTCTAAGATTACACACTTGTTAAGTCAATATTTAAAAAAATAAAAACACCCTGATTTTGTTCACTTTTGTTTTCATATACAAGAATCTTTACAATCAACATGTACATCTAGATGCTGTATTGAAATTGCTGGCAGAGTCTATTCTATACAAACTGAACAATCTGGCCCCTTGTTTTATTTGTAAAGGTTCAATGTATCTATGCCTGACTACTTCAATCTGCAAGGGAGTGTCAGAAAGGCCCCGCATTCGCCGAGCCGTGAGTTATTGCTAACTTTTCAGATGTGTTAATGAATGTGGAACAAAAGCAGTTGTGTTTAAAAGGAAAAAAGGATCAGTAAAATTACCTTTATTATAGTAGCAGGCGTGAACAATAAATGAATTATTCCACATTGTGGTGTCGGAAATAACCTACTTTAAATAGAGACTAGCCTCTAGAAAACCTATTGTTGAACTGCTCTGAAGCTATCATTTTAGCTATAAATTACTCTTCTTAAAAATACATATTTCCTGCTTACAAATCAGACTTACAATTAAGTATTTTTAACCACATTAAAACAATTTGAACAAAATCTTACCCCACCTAAAAACGACAGTATTTAGTTGACTTTAGTTAGTTGACTCTTCAAAATAAGACCACATAAAAGGGGTAAAGTTTTAACCATTTTTGTAATTCACATGTGAAAAACAGAAATTAATTCAAATAATTGAATCACTTCCTAGGTGAAAGTTTTTGGAGTGCCTCAGGCATCATGTGAAGTACAGCAGTGTTTACAATCTATTTTGGTACCAACAGTTCTCGCTTCAGTAATTCACCAGTAGGTTTTCATTCATCAACGATGATATCAATTGAAGGGTAAAATAAAACACATTTTTTTAGGGCTACCACTCTACATAAAGGAATTGTCATTAAGAGTTTTTTCTTTTTCCAAAGAGGTTCTAAGCAAAAAAAATTACAACTGCCATCTATATTCTGTTATTAGAGTAGTTAGTTACCTTTTGTTCCTTAGAATTTGTAAATTTTTTAGTGGATAGGCATCACTAGCAGGTTGGATGCTTCTATTGCTTAGGAGGTGTATTGTGCTATATGAAGACAGAATTTAAATGTTAGGCCATATATAGCACAGGCTACATAAAACTTGGAGGTGTGGGGCCTTTGGAGGCATTACAGTTAACTTTTCATTTAGGCAATGTGCCTTTGTTTGACTGGTGTGTAAGTCCTTCTTCCAGGTTTGTACGCTCTTAAACACGTTATTCTACCCTCTCTAACTCCTCCTAGCAGCAAAAGGGAGACACTTCAGCTGGAACAAAATAGTGGAAGAAATGGCGTCTGGGGTTCAGTGGGGATTCGCAGTGTGTATGCAATATTTGCAAGATTACTTTTTATGTTTTTCAGTTAATTAAATAATTACAAAAGAAATCAATGCTTAGTGTCAAGTAGGGAATGTTGTATACGGGTAGAACTGTCCTAGTGGGTCTACTGCAAGTCGCTTAACCTCTCCAGGCCACAGTTTCCTCATCTGCAATGTGAAGGAGTTGGACTCAATAATCCTTAAGGTCCATTCCTGCTCTAAATCCTATGCTTTTCTGAATTACTTTAACAGAATGCATTGCTTTCCCACTTTGACTATTTAAATTACATATGCAGTACACGTACTGCAACTGCATGTTGTCTAAAATCGTTTTTTTCATAAGATATTATATAAAGAACTAATCCCTCTTGAGCTGATTTATAAATGTGTGTGTGTGTAGCCACACATTAAGGGCTAGCAATAATCGGGCTTTCAGAAAATAAACATTTTCTAGTTGTCTAACCTTGAATGTTATTAACTTTCCTATATTACAGGAGATACTACTCGTCAACGAATCAAATTCAGTGATGACAGAGTATGCAAGAGTCACCTTCTCAACTGTTGCCCCCATGATGTCCTCTCTGGGACTGTACGTATTTATTAAATCTATTATTTGATAATTTTATACTATAAAAATGAACTAATCTTATTTTTCCTTTTTTTTTTTTACTACTTGATAAAGTTAATTCCTAGTCTAATTATTATGCAATGAATTTTTAAAAACTCTTTTTGTTTGTTTTGTTAATCCTCACCTGAGGATATTTTTTCATTGATTTTTAGGGAGAGTAGAAGAGAGAGGGAAAGACAGAGAGAAACAGCTATGTGAGAGAAAAACATTGGTTGGTTGCCTCCTGTACGAGCCCTGACCAGGGCTCTGGCCAGGGAGGAGCCTGCAACCAAGGTATGAGCCCTTGAGCAGAACCGAATCTTGGGACCCTTTGGTCTGCAGGCAGACCCTCTATCTACTGAGACAAACCAACTAGGGCTATGCTATGATTTTTTTAAAACAAAAACCACTGCTGTTAGATGAGGAATCTGTATACCTTATTTATTTAGGTTGATGATTTAATCTGCAATAATGGGATTCCTCAAAATTAATTACTATGCTTTGCTTTATAATTTTTTCTGTTCCTCGGCAATTTTTCAAAAAGCATTTCTGCCCAGCTGGTGTGGCTCAGTGGTTGAGCACTGACCTATGAATCAGGAGATCACGATTTGATTTCCGGTCAGGGCACATGCCCGTGTTTCAGGCTCCATTTACCAGTAAAGGGACGTGCAGGAGGCAGCTTATCAATGGTTCTGTCTCATCATTGATATTTCTATCTCCCTCTCCCTTTATCTCTGAAATTAATTGAAATATTAAAAAATAAAAAAGCGTTTCTTGTTTGGAATACAGACACAGTAATTCAACAGCAATTGCACTTTTAGTTCAGAAATAATACAAGTGATTTAAAAAATAGTTCTTACTTTTGAGCAGAGTACACTTTTATACAAAACACCGTATATTTTTGTTAAAATTTGTGTGCATTTATATTGTGGATATAATTGTGGGGAAAATATATTAGTAAATACTTAAAATCACACAGCTTAATTGCAAGTGGTGATGTCACTTAAAAAATTACTTTATATTGCTGACTCAATATAAAGCTCAATTTAGATTCTATGTCTAATGATGTTGGTTGATCTTAGCGTATCATCAGTTTAATTTGGAAGATAATCCACATGATGATGGACCTATTTAAATGGAACAAAGGGTTATATTCCCTTTGGTTTGGATTTGTTTGAAATGATTACTTATTGCAAGAGCTCCCTTTATTAGGCTGTATCTGATGATGGTGGAGGAGGACTAGTAAGGGCTGAACATTTAGTTGACTTTATTTCTCATTTGCCAGAAATGACTGAAATGAAGGAAAGACTCTTGACTTTGATTTTCAGAAGTGATGAGTTCCCTTAAAGATATCCAAAATGAGTGTTTTCTTTGTGAATAGGAAGAATTAAATGCCCCAAACAGATAGATATCAAGGCATACAATCTAGAAAGCACCTCTTTTTCCATTAGGAAAGACTATTGAAACTATATTATGTTAAAATGAAAAAAGGAGCCTACATTTAAAAATATGTGTATAATACTAAATTTTTAAAAAGTATAATACCACAAAAAGGAAATCCAGTTTCTGAGCACTTGAGTTTGTACTATAACAGATAACTAACCCTCATATATACTCTTCAGAATTTTCATAATTAAAATATTTACTATGCTATAAAAGAAATCTATAATTATCTGTAGTGTACTTTGATTCTCCACATGTACTGTTAAATTTAACAGTTAAAATCATTTTATTTACTGGCTAAATTATCACTTCAGCTAAATTTTGAGGACAAAATGAACAAAGTAGCAGAATTTAGGTGTTGTTTTTCTTCCTTTTTTTTAATAAAGCCCAACCATAGCAAGACTCTGGCATATTATATTTTTCAAGTATGGCATTAATAAAAATGTGACAGCACAGTTGTACTTTACATTTTAGGTACACATAATGTAATTTTACTCATTTATTTCTTGAAACAATTCTGTGAGGTATGTAATCTATAGTTGGCCTTGATGAGATGGTGACTTATTAAAAATCATTTCGTTCTGTTGTTTTAAAGTAAAGCTGGGACCAAATCCAAATTTTCTGAGGTATAGTCTTATTCAACATGTTTTCTATTTTGTAGGGAGTATGTTAAATAAAAAATTTCCTTGTAAAATTATTGCTGTTGTATTTATAAGATACACATTTTTTTAAATTTTAACATCTGAAAAATGCATCTCAAAGTTGATAGAAAAATACTATATTAATTGGTAACATTTTTCTCAGTATAGAATTTAATGATGAGGCTTAAAATTGATATCTTGGATTATTACATGAAAAACAGTTACTAAGGAAAGCCCTTCTAAAGGCAGTTGCCAGGAAAACTCTGGGCAAGAAATATCTTCTTTTTGTCAGTGTAATAGGGAAGGTATTGTTATATGGAAGGACGGGTTTTAATAGTTGTGAACCTTTCAGAATTTAAACATTTTTAAGTACTGGTATATAGGACTTTATGAAATTCCAGGATTGTCCTAGTGTAGTGTCCTTGAGAACTTAAAACCATCCATAGTGTGACATTCTCATGACCCTTATTACTAAAAGGGTATATTTATAACAGTTCATCCTATGTAGAAATGGTTTGTAATTACAGAGCTGTGACTTCTTTACCAGCCAGTCTCTGTAGAACAAATGCTTTTCTGGCACAGTTCATACCTCTTTATGTGGAAGATGTCTGTGTGTTTTGGGTTGTTGTCTTTTTTAGTATTAGAGGATGAAAAGAACTGAATTGTAACTATTGATTTTTATAATGCTTTTTCTTTGCCGTATAACTAAAGTTTGCTCTTTAGTTTTCATGACCATGTTCCTCAGATCTCTCACTTCCAGCAGAATATGATTCACCAATATTCTGTGTTATTTAACAGCAGAATACATAGAAATGTATTATCTGGCTTTATTCATTGTAAGTGGTTGAAGATTATATCAAGCACTTGAAGATGGAGAGTATGATTTCTAAAAATGTACTCAACTGACAATTAGTATGGAATACTTTTGGAATTCAGTTTGATGAAAATGCCCTTATAACATTTTATCTTTTATTAATCTGATACTGAATTATAACTAATTCTTTAGTTAATAAATTATTCAGAAGAGGAAAATGTAGAGCAAAGAATCAAAACAATTGTGTGTATATAAATATCTTTGGATTATGATTTTTAGAAGAAGCATGAATATCTCTTATATCTTAGTAATTTACTGTTTTTCAAAGCCTTGGGTTGTTTCCCTATTCATCTAGAATACTTTCTTGTTTTAGTTCTTTCTTCCTCCCCTTGCACACTTGGTTTCTCCCTGTTCTTTTCATCCCCTTTCAGATTTAGGCAAAACAAAAAACCTAAGCAGAGTTGTCCTCTTGACCCCCAACACATTGTTTCTGTTACATAGCTTCCCTGAGGAAAAATAAGTATATTAAAGAGCTTTTAAAAAAAACAAAACAAAAAACTTTCCATCTGGTTCTTAGTGATCTAGGGAAAAGGTATGTGATAGTAATAATTTACAGAAGGCATTAAATCTAAAGCAGAGACAGTAACATAAGCTTGAAATGAAGATCTGCAGAGATGAAAATGTATACTCAGTGTGCCTGTCCTAAGTTCAGAAATGGCCACTACTAATTTTATTATAGCCTTCATCATAGTATAATTTTAGCATTGACAGATTGTCATGTCTTCCTGCATAAGGTCATGATTTCATAGATGGGAAAAAATTTAAGGCTCAGAGAAATTGTGCTAGTCAGATATATTATAATTAAAGAATCAGTTATGCAACAGGAATCTCGAAGTAATTTAAATCTAAATACTTTAAAAAATATATTTTTATTGATTTCAGAGAGGAAGGGAGAGAGAGAGAAACATCAATGATGAGAATCATTGATCAACTGCCTCCTGCATGCCCCACACTGGGGATTGAGCCCACAACCCACTCATTTGCCCTGACCAGGAATCAAATGTGACCTCTTGGTGCATGGGTCAACCCTCAATTGAGCCACGCCAGCCGGGATCTAAATACTTTTTAAAAAGCTTTTTGTTGCTATTATTTTTGATAACCTAGGGCAGTGACTTTTAGATGTTTCTGAAATGTCTTTGGAGGGTTTACATGGACATGGGGATAGGCCAGTCTTTCCTATTTCAGTTAGAATTTTGCACATTTTAAATATATAAAATTTCCACGAAATTTTGTCTAAATAAATTCTCAAAAATAGAATTTAAAGTTAGAGAACTGATATTGAGAAATAGTCAAGGACAGGGATAAAGTGAAGTTTTATCAGCCTTTTTGAAGTGATTGGATGGGAATTATTGTCAAAAAATTCTGACTGAGTTGATTTTATGGTGCCCCAGTAGGTTGTGGGTTTTATCTGAAGTGCAATTTTTACTAATTGAAACTCCTTTATTGCTTCTCTAACTCTTTCTTTTAAGGCCTGGTCTAAAATCAGTTACTTGGGTGCATACAAACCTGAACTTTAAAACTACTGAAGTCTCTTTCATAGTACATATGTAAAAGAGCCATGAAAGTATGGAGAAGCAGAATAAGTGATAAGAAGTAAACCTGCACAAAATTTTCTCAACCAGCCACTAGAATGTAAGTTTCATTATAAGGGCAGGGACATGGTTTTGTTCAGTGCTATATCCCCAGCATCTAGAAGGGTCCCTCCATTGTGTTGAATGAATAATTGATCCACCCAAAAGTAGAATGCTCAATAAATCTGTTTCAAAAACTAACTTTGAATTTCAATAATTGATCATTATTAGTGGGCAATGTGTTACCTTTGAACAGATAAGGAGTTGGAGAGTTATCTTTGTTTTATTGAGTTGCTTATCAAAATATGACAGCAGTAGTTTCATAAGCAGATGTGAAAAATTGGTCTGTAGATGTTTTAAACCAGCGGTCGCCAACTGGTGGTCCGCGAGGTCCGAAAGGTTGGCGACCGCTGTTTTAAACTATCTCTCAGAAATAGTTTGTTTTGGGCTACTTTGGCTTTTTTCTTTCTTTTTTTAATCCTCACCCAAGGAAATGTTTTTTGATTTTAGAGAAAGAGAGGAAGGGACAGAGAGAGAGAGAAAGAGAGAAACATCCTTGTGCAAAGAAACATTGACAGGTTGCCTGCAGAACATGCAACCTAGGCATGTACCCTAACTGGGAACCGAACCCAGGACCTTTGGTTTATGGGATAAAACTCCAACCAGCTGAGCCACATTGACCAGAGCTACTTTGGTATTTATTTGTTTATTTATTTTTAAATATATTTTATTGATTTTTTACAGAGAGGAAGGGAGAGGGATAGAGAGTTAGAAACATCGATGAGAGAGAAACATCGATCAGCCGCCTCCTGCACACCCCCAACTGGGGATTTGCCTGCAACCAAGGTACATGCTCTTGACCGGAATCGAACCTGGGACCCTTGAGTCCGCAGGCCGATGCTTTATCCACTGAGCCAAACCAGTTAGGGCTACTTTGGTATTTTTTAACAAGTATTTTTAGCTTTGGCCCAGATAACTGACATATTCGTTTGTTTGCTTATCTATCTAATCTATCTATCTATCTATCTATTTATTTATGTCACAGTCAATTTCTAGAGTTTACCAATTTGCAAAATGCCTGTTAACCCAGGTTTTGTAAGATTTGGCTTTTGAAGTGTATTATGTTCTTATATTAAACAATTTTGTTATTTTTATTTTATTATTCTCAGTCTATTACAAAAATATGTATTTCTTTAACAAGCATTTTTAGAGATGGCCTAAACCAAAATTACATCTGGGCCCTAGCTGGTTTGGCTCAGTGGGTAGAGCGTTGGACTACGGACCAAAGGGTCCCAGTTTTGACTCCAGTCAAGGGCACGTGCCCTGGTTGTGGGCTCTGTCCCCAGTAGGGGGCATGCAGGAAGCAGCCAATCAATGATTCTCTCTCATCATTGATGTTTCTATCTCTCCCTTTCCCTTCCTCTCTGAAATCAATAAAAAACCTATCTTTTAAAAAATCACATTTGGTGCCAAGAAAATCAGAGGCACATTAAAAACTTCCCAGTGAATAATTAAAACTACTGTTAAACTTGAAAAGCCAAGTCCTGAATATAGTTTGGAGCATTGTTGGCAAATTGATACATTAATGCCCTGAACTGTTCAGCCTGAGGTACATATGCTCTTGAGAAACAACTTTTTCTATCATTCTGAATGTTTTTGCTAGCATTTGTGTTTTTTTCTTCTTCCTTTTTTGAAATTTTATCTTCAGAGAGGAAGGGAGAGGGAGAGGGGGGGAGAGAGAGAGAGAGAGAGATTGAACCTGCAACCCAGATACATGCCCTTTGGTGCACAGGCCTACGCTCTAACCACTGAGCAACGCCATCCAGGGGTGAAAATATATATTTTTTAATGTGATGAGTTGTACCCTGATGTGCAGGTGGCAAGACCAAATGTCCTTGTACAATCTTTCTAGTTTGATGATTCTTACTCGTTAGGGGATCTTTTAAAAACATTTGGTGTTTTACTTTGACCTATATAGAACATAGTACTTTGAATTATATCATCCTATAAACTTTCTTAGGTCTGTGATATCAAAAATATAGGTATGTATATTGATGTACTTGGTTAATATAATTTGTAAATTTCCCAAATTTAGATAGTTTTTTTGTTCTTCCTCCTTTATGATATTAGTTTAATAGTGTATAGGATAATGAAATTTAAGTAATACTGGAATTAAGAAGAGGAAGAAATAGAAAAGGGTGAGCCTGAGATGTCAGTTTAATGAGGGTTGGGTGGAGAAAGTAAAGAGAATTCACAGTAAAAATTAAAAAATTGCCCTTCAAGAAGTGACTTATTTTTTTCATCTCTCTGGGAGTGGTGCTGATTGGTGCTATTAGCATTCATTCATTCATTTATTCACTCACTTAAGTACTTCTCCAGGACCTAATCTGTCCCATGTGTAAGCTGGGGATACAAAAATGGACACAGGTTTCTGCTTTAATGGTGGTAGCTTACATTCTCATGTGAGACATACACAACCAAGTGTGAGAAGATATAATGTGGTTTTAGTTATGACAAAAAAGCATAGCTGGGTAATTTAGATTGTTTGAGATAGTGGGCTAGCAGCTACTTTGGCAGGGTGATTGGAGAAAACTTGATAAAATGATACTTAAAGAGATCTAAATGTGAAGAAAAGAAGATAGTCATTCTTGAGTTGGAATGAACTTACCATATGTTGCTACCACACAGAAATTTTTTGAGGTTTAGTATTGTACATATATGATCAAAAAATCTAAAACCCTTAGCCCAGTCTACCTCTCCTTTCAATGAATAAATCATTTGGTCCTCTCTTTCAACCAGACTGTTGTATTCCTTGTTATCTCACTACTTTCTTCCCCAACGTGTTTCTCACTTTTGCCTACCCCTTTACCTCTTCCTGGAATACCTTTTCTCCTCTACAGATTTAAAACCTGCCTGGCTTACTGCACAAAATTGCCTGGGCCTACAGCAGTGTAGACCCTGAAATCCACCTGCTGACGGCACTGAGCGATTGGGGGCCGTGCCGGCAGCAGGTGTGAGTGGTGGCTTCTGCGCTGGCAGCAGGTGCGAGCACTGGGGGGGATTGCGGTGCACGGGAGCAAAGAATTTTCAGTAACTACCAGAGGCTTGCTCTGACGACAATGACCGGCTCCCTGCCTTGGTCTGGCACCCCTGCTCACCTGCTCCACCATCCCGCCCCGGCCGACGCCTGTCATGTTTCACACTGCTGCCTGCTGCTGATGCCGCCATGTTCTGCGTGCGCCACCTGGTGGTCAGCACATGTCATAGTGACCGGTTGTTCAGTTGTTCCGCCTTCCGGTCTATTTGCATATTAGCCTTTTATTATGTAGGTAGGATCTTTGCATATCTAGGGTTTGAAATGAATGACAAAAAGTATTTCCTGCTATATTCTTTTTTTCCCCCCCTATTTTGTTTCTTAGTTTACTTTGTTCATTAGATTTCACATATAAGTGAAATTATATAGTACTTGTCTTTCTCTGACTGGCTTATTTCACTTAGCATAATACTCTCTGGGTTGGTCTATCCATGCTGTTGCAAAAGTAAGATTGCCTTTTTATAGCCAAGTAGTGCTCCATTCTATAAACTTATTATAGTTCTTTTATCCACTCATCTACTGATGGGTACTTGGGTTGCTTCTAAATCTTGGCTATTATAAATAACTCTGTAGTGAACATAAGGGTGCATATATTCTTTCCAATTAGTGTTTCAGATTTCTTCGGATGTATTCCCAGAAGTGAAATTGCTGGGTCATAAAGCAGTTCCATTTTTAATTATTTGAGGAAACTCTATACTGTTTTCCACAGTGGCTGTACTGATCTGCATTCTACCAACAGTGCATGTGGTTTCCTGCTGTTTTAAAAATTATTATTAAAAAGTAGAAGAGTTTTATTTTCCTTTATCTACCCAGGGGAAAATGGAATTCGGTTGGAACATACCTGGAAACAGGCAATTAAAAATTTGGGAAGTCGTAGAAAAACAGGAACTACTTTCTGCATGCACAATGTGTCCTATTCCTCTTCACCCTTCACGTTTGACTTGTTTTGAGCATTGGGATTGTAATTAAGAAAGAAAAACCTTCATTTTTATTTTAAGGCAATAGTGGCATAACAAACATATCCAGGTTTTGTTATTTCAAGGCTTTTCCTATATTATACTAGGTTGGTTTCTTTTTTCATGTTCTTGGGCTGGGTTTTGAAGCAAGCACTGAACCTGGATGGAAAAGAAATTTTATAAATATGAGGAAGGGAGAAACTGAATTACTTGAGAAAAGAGGTGTTCAGGGAGATTAAGTGAATTTCTCAGAGTTAAAGTGATAAGAAGTAAAGGTTCTTTTCTCGTCTGACTTATTTCACTTAGCATAATACTCAAGATCCATCCATGTTGTCTCAAATGGCAGTATTTTATCATTCATTGCTGAGTAGTATTTCATTGTATATATGTACCATTTTTTTTTAAATTCAAAAATTAGTTGAAGTACATTTAGGTTCTTTCCATGTCTTGGCCACTGTAAGTAATGCTACAGTAAACATAGGGATACGTGTATGTTTACAAATGTTTCCAAATTATTCAGGTAGATACCCAAAGAGAGATTGCTGGGTCATTTGGTAGCTTTCTTCTTCATTTTTTGAGGCACCTCTGTATTTCCCATGGTGGCTGTACAAATTTACATTCCCACCAGCAGTCTATGAGAGGTCCTTTCCCCCCAGATCCTCTCTAACACTTGTTATTTTTTATTGATAATTACAGGCCCAATGCATGAAATTTGTGCACGGGTAGGGTCCCTAGGCCTGGTCTGCGATCAGGGCCGATTGGGGCCTTCCTTCCCCTGGCTGCTGGCGGGGGCCTTCCTTCCCCCGGCTACCTTCGTTCCGCGCCGCTCCTTGGTGGTCAGTACACGTCATAGTGAGCAGTCGAACTCCCAAGGGGACAATTTGCATATTAGCCTTTTATTATATAGGATAACCATTCTAACAGGTGTTAGGTGGGGTTTCAGTGTAGTTTTGGTTTGTATTTACCTTAGAACTAGTTATGTTGAAGGTCTTTTAATGTATCTGTTGACCATCTCTATGTCCTCTTTGGAAAATTGTTCAAGTTCTTGCACCATTTTTTAATTGCATTGTTTTTTTGTTGTTGAGTTGTATGAGTTCTTTATATATTTTGGATATTAGCTCCCTCTGGGAGGTATCACTTACAAATATCTTTTCCCATTCTGTTGGTTGCCTTTTTGTTTTATTGATGGTTTCTTTTTCTTTCTCTTTTTTAAAAAAATGTATTTTTATTGATTTCAGAGAGGATGGAAGAGGGAGAGAGAGAAACATCAATGATGAAGAATCATTGATTGACTGCCTCCTGCATGCCACACACTGGGGATTGAGCCTGCAACCCGGGCATGTGCCCTGACTGGAAAATCGAATCGTGACTTCCTGGTTCATAGGTTGACGTTTAACCACTGAGGCAATGACTATTAATATGTCAATATTTTTTGCATCTGTTTTTGCTGTACAGTGGCAATGAGATCCTTGTGTGTATGTTTTTGTGTACATTTGCAACTGTTAATTTAGTTTAATGTCATTTTTACATTGAGAATATAAATTCATTGATACAGGAATTAGTCTCACACTATTTTATGATTCCCTTTAGGATTTAGCTTATAGAACCAAACAAATGTACTAACTTAACAAAGCAAGAATATTTGCAAATACTTAGAGCTGTTACTATGTCTGGTTGCTATCACTGGTATACTCATTGACATATACTGCCATTAGTTTACACTTGGCAGTACACTCTATATATATTTTTTTAATATATATCTTTATTGATTTCAGAGAGGAAGGGAGAGGGAGAGAGAGAGATAGAAACATCAATGATGAGAGAGAAACATTGATTGGCTGCCTCCTGCACACCCCACACTGGGGATCGAGCCCGAAACCCAGGCATGTGCCCCTGGCCAGAATCGAACCCGGGACCCTTCAGTCCGCAGGCCGACACTCTACTCACTGAGCCAAACCGGCTAGGCTATGTTTTTTGTTGAGTATAATTTTCCTGTTACCTCAATATTTTCTTCTAAAATTAAAGTGGCTTTATTGGCTTTCTGATTGTAAGAATAATATATGCTCATTGCATTTAATTTAATAACTATTAAACGGTTTATATAAACCAACCTTACAGCAATGTCTGTGTCTAAATTTACAAAACTGGCATTTTATTGTCTTTCTTTGCCATCTTTTTTCCACTTAGCATCAAGAACACTTTTCTAGCCCTAGCTGGTTTGGCTCAGTGGATAGAGCGTTGGCCTGCGGACTGAAGGGTCCCGGGTTTGATTCCAGCCAAGGGCACATGCCCAAGTTACAGGCTTGATCCTCAGGGAGGGGCGTGCAGGCGGCAGCCCATCCATGATTCTCTCTCATCCTGGATGTTTCTCTTTCTCCCTCTTCCTTCATCTCTGAAAACAATAAAAATATATTGAATAATAAAAAAAGAACACTTTTCTAATGGCTATGTCATGTGTCATATTGACTATTCCTTAATTCAATTAGTCAAACCGCTGTTGCTGGGATTTTAAAATGTTCCTAACTTTTTAGATCAAAAACACTATTGTTAAATCTTAGTGTTTGTTTATATGTACTTATTTTATTGTTTCCTCAAGTTCTTAGAAGTACAGTTCCTTTATCAAATCATCAAGTTTATTTAATAATCATGGGTTGTTCAGAATCTGGTCTTTTATGTAGAATGAAAAAAGAAGAGAAATAAGCCATTTTTCTCAGGAAACTTAGAGTCCATTTGGGGAGATAACATTCACTTTTGGAATTTTAAAAGAATGAAAAAGCCCTTATCAGCCTGGCTGGCAAGGCTTAGTGGTTGAGTGTTGACTTATGAATCAGGTCACAGTTCGATTCCTGGTCAGGACACATGCCCTGGGCCAGGCCAAGGGACCCCACCAGGGCACGATTGGGGCCGGGGCGGGACCTTGGGAGGGCTCCAGGGCTTGTCCGGCCCATCTTGTTCATTCCCAATTGGCCAGACCCCAGCAGCAAGCTAACCTGGTGGGAGCATCTGCCCCCTGGTGGTCAGTGCATGTCATAGTGACTGGTCAACTGGCTGACTGTCTGCCCCCTGGAGGTCAGTGCAGGTCATAGCGAGTGGTTGAGCGGTCTTAGCATATCATTAGCATATTACGCTTTGACTCGTTGAATGGCTGACCAGACACTTAGCATATCAGGCTTTTATTATATAGGATACCCCTCATATGTATGGCACAATTCACAGTAGATGCTTAGTCGTGATGATGCGGACAGGGGGAAATAAACGATTAGTATCTAGAACTCTGAAAATCTGCCTTGCTCTTTTGTCCTGTTCCATAAAATAAGCACAGGCTATTGTAATCCTCCCCAACCCCCCAAATCTTTATTATAGCTAGGCCCTTCTAGGGCTTTGGCCCCAAAATCTAGTATGGTAAGCCAGTCTAGACTGTAAAGTTACATGTGCTCATAGCCCAGGAAAGTGAAAAGCCCAGTAGTCTTAATTCCTGGAGGAGAGGAGTAGCTAGAAACACTTAAGAAGGAAAGTAGTACAAGCAAAGGAGATAACCCAAGATGAGAAGACCTTCCAAAGCTCAGATCAGTTTTGTCCTGGGATGCATCCTGACCACTCTTGATTGTTAAGCCCAGGGCCCCCTGGGCCAAATGTTCTTCTCTGCCCTCTTTTCCCAGATTGGTTCGTTCAATAAATATTAAGTATTCCTCCACACCAGGCTTGGGCCTCTCTCTTCAGAAGCTTTCATCAGTATTGTTTTAAAGGTCCCTGGGTCCAGGTTAAGAATCACTGCGCTGGATCAAAAGCATTTCCAACAGTGACTTCTTAAGCTTTTATGATATAAGTATAGCCTCTCTTGAGCAACTATAGCTGTGGAAATACATACAGATGCAAAAGAAGTTGTTGGAGTGATTGATGTTAAGATATTAACACATTGTATGCGGGTAGTTTTCATCACGCGCTAACAGGTGGCACGTGGCGCGGGCCATTTTTGCTAATTTTTTTGCGCAAATGGCAATGTTCAGTAAAATTATGATAACTTTAGTTTATGTATTTATACGTTACCCACATTCTACCGCTAGGCTATAAAAAAACGTACTAATACGTGTCCTGCTCTCTACTTACTCCCAGTCAACGTAAAACGTATAAATACGTTTCCCGCATTCAATGTGTTAAGGAACCAGTTGGCCCTTGTAGACAAGAGGGTAACAACATTCTTTGGCCATTAACTTCTTTCATTCCTGTCTTATTTTCCTGGATTTTAAAAAGAGTATTAAACTTTTTTCAACAGCCTTTTCTCCATAAATATTGCTTAATAAGCAGCCTTAAATTTCCATATATCTACAGAAAGTTTCAGTTGCTCTTTACTATTACTGGAAAACTACTTGGTTTGTTATAGCCCATAGAATAATGAACAAGAGCCTGGAAATGAGGCCTGGAAAAACACCACATCCTCAGCAACACAGTGATACTTTAGAGCAGTGGTCAGCAAACCGCGGCTCGCGAGCCACATGCAGCTCTTTGGCCCCTTGAGTGTGGCTCTTCCACAAAATACCACGTGTGGGCGCGCACGTACAGTGCGATTGAAACTTCGTGGCTCATGCGCAGAAGTCGGTTTTCGGCCTGGGTGAGTCTATTTTGAAGAAGTGGTGTTAGAAGAAGTGGGGGGTGTCGGTCGGTCTGGCAACAGGAGACTTGGCACAGGTGGGCCACGGGATACGCAGCGTGGAGGAGGTACATTGTTTTGAGGTACTTTCGCTGAGATCGACCCCTTCCAACTC